TCCTGCCGGAGCCCGGCTGTTGGCTTGCACTGCCGGTGCTACTGTGCGGCAACTTATCTGGGGTACCCATCCCTCATTAGCGCCCTTGCATGAATGCATTGCGTACGCAATGAGGGTGTTGCCCGACAACGAACACCCTACACCGCTTGCGCGATCGACTCGGACTTGTTCACAATGCGAAATGCAACAGAGCAAGCAAGCCTTGCGGGGATGCGACATACAGCGGGTTGTCCCAAGTGCGCCATGGATCTAGGGAGCCTACATATTCTAATAACGATCTCCTTAGTGTCTGGTTGTGCACGAGGCTTTACTCGTTACGATGAACACACCGAGACTGAGGATAGAACTGGAAAGCAGGAACAGAACAGCCGCTCAACGCACATAGCGCTGCCTCTGAGACGCTGCATGTTTGGGACGTACAGGCTCTATCCAAGAATCTTCCTGAGAACCATCGTCGACATTGCTTCTTATTAAGCCATTCCATACCTAGAAATTGCCTTGACTAGGCATTTTCAGCATTCAATAAATGTTTTCACGATAACAACTCTGCGTTCGCCTCGCTTGCGGATCGTCAATTTCCGGATGACTAAATCAGACAGCAGAAACAGTCGCCCTGAACAGCCGTCCGCCAAGCCCGAGTCCAAAACGATTCAAACCAACACCAGAACCTCGCGGCGAAAACCCACTCTCATTTTCATCACGCTCCTGCTTAACGCACTGTTCTGGAGTGCTCTTATCTGTTTGGTCACCTCACTGTACCAGATCGTGTCTGATCCGTGGGATGCAACGAACATCATACCAGTGGTCTTGAACTTGACTTCTGTATGTGCTTGGAACCCTGCAATCAAGGCCAACAGTGACTAAATCGCCCAGGCTCTCGCAACAATTGCGTACACTTGCGTCCACACAGTATTCTCTTTCAAGCAGAAGGTTTGGGAAGAACAACGGCGACACACGTCTGCTGTCAGGAAGACTTCCTATGTTGCCATCCGTCTAGTGATCTCGCTATGTGTTTTCTGGTTACTAACCTCTGGATGGAACATGGTTCTCGTCGCAAGGAGACCTATTTGTCTGCAACAGGCACCCGGTCTTCAAAGCTGGGAATCTGGCTCCACTTGCTTATGTGGACGTGTTGGGACCACTTTCGCCGCCATTTCGCTGTATGTTAAACCAGTCTGTGAATTTGACGCCAAAGCTGACTAGTCAACCAGGATTGCGTCTTTTGTTCTGTTTGGCGTACTCGCCATCGTCAACCGTCCTTTCGAAGCTCATTTATTCAAGCACGGTTACCGAGAACCTGCAAACGCATGGCTTCCGCCACACTCTTCCAATGGGTCAACGATCAGCGGAGATCGCAAATGTACGTGTGAGAAGCACACCTACTGTCGTCATGTCACGCCAACACGGAGGAGCAGCTCATCCAACCCGATGGGACAAAGCAGCAGAATCTCATCAGGATCCAGAGTCTTTACTTCGCATCATGCCCCGCCACCTATACCCTCTGCTTTTATGGCCTCGTATCGTAAATCCTCTTTCGATACTTTACCTTCTGCATCACAGTCCTCTGCCAACCGTGGAGCCTTGAATCGCCCGCCTCTTTCGTCGCGTTCAGCAAGCAAATGCGACTCCGGACCTCTGTTCACGCAGGCCCGGTATTCGGCATCTACATGGCGCGCCGTTCATCCAGAGGGCTTGGAATTCACACTAAATGCATCGCGCCCGCGCCCTTATTCACGCGATCTTGATCTTCGTCATAGCATCCGATACTCACATTCCTCGATGTCCCTCACTCGTCCAAGTCGTCTAAGCTCTCTGAGCACTGTTTCGCGAAGTGGCTGTAATGGTTTCAACAGCCGGGATCACACCTTTGGAGTTTCTGATCACGGCGAAATAGCCAGTCCCGATGAGATCGCGTATGCTATCACAAAGGGAACGCCCATACCTGGCACTGAACGTATCAGAGGTCTTGGCAGACACCACATCCGCTCAGGCAGTGCCCCAGATTATACATCCCCTTCTCAGCAGAAGCCTGGCTTCGTTTTCGAGGCGATTGTCGTCACTCGAAAACCGGTGCCGGTTCGGCGATTGAGATCTGCGGACCGTGTGCGGGCTTCAAGTACTTCCAATTCAGAAGCCGAAAGATACATGGTCAGGCAGAGGCTTGGAAACTTCCAGCACCCTAATGACCGATCGGAATATACTGATTTGGACATGAATAGACGGATGACGTTTGACGAAGTGAAAAATAAGCCCTTGCCGAAGATTGCCGTCTTCTAGCACCGAATTTGAACCAACCTTCGACTGCAACTCAGCTATTCGAAAATGATCAAATTCAAGACCATTCATAAGTCTACATACGCTCCTCCACAACCCGTTTCATGGGTGTAAAACAAACAGAGCGCTCACTAGCAGCAAAAGCAAGCGAATGGTCGCTCGGAAAGCTTCTGGCGAAAAACAAACGGTGGAACGGGCCGTCTGTGCGTCTCCTTGTTCGCATCCCACACGCATCACTGATCACTGCTGATGGGCTGCTGTTGGTCGTCCGTGGGATCAGCAGCGCCACCCGTCAGCTTACGGCGGATGGCGGGTGACTGACTCGCTACAAGGCGACCGAAGTACTCTCACTGGCTGTATGCGAAAACGGCAGTGATACATTTAAAATGCTGCTTGGGCGTGACTCGTCACCACCAACACTGACCGCGTACAATTGTTCTGGACTGGTGGATCCCGTCAGAAAACTCTGCTCCCGTTCATGGGACCAACTCTCTGGCCTTCACGCGCTAGCCGGCTGGGATGCCCAGCCTCTTGACACATATCGGAAGAAGGCATCATCTCAGCACTGAGGTGGCATATTTGAAACCGTATCACACTTTAACAGAGATGTACGCTCACGAACGCGCACGATGTGGGGATCATCCATAACGCGCCGGTGTTGACCTTTATTCAAGCATGCGAATCGACCACACCGTCAGCAAAGTAAGGAGAGAAAGAGCTCATTGTTGAATGACACGTCTCATAGCACGGGCTCACATACGACTTATTGCACAATTTGCTATATAGGCATATGTCAGCACCCATGGCTCTTAAGCTTGCAAACTCGATACAGCCAGCTGCCACCAACATCGGATTATTAAGTCGACAAAACTCAGCACTTGGCAGCTTATCTTACAGTTGCGAAGGCATCAGCGAGGTCTTCTACCATGAACCATCTATGGCCTGGCCGGAAAAGGCATGCGCCACCAACTAGGAAGGCTGGGACGTTCCCGAGCCTAGAGCTTCTGTGACACCTGGTGGAAAGAAAGAGGCTTGTTATACGTAATGGAGGGCAAGTTGGAGACAGTGTGCTGAGGCTATCAGAACGTGTGAGTGCATAGCTTCTATGCTATAAAGCAGAACTCGACTGCTGTCTAGAAAAATCACAACATCAAAGTCAAACATCCATTCGATCAAACATACTATCTTGTTCCAGTACCCAAACGCCAAGATGCAACTTACAATCCTCACCTCCCTTCTTGCCACTGCGGCTATGACCGCCAGTGCCACGCCTGCTACCGGCATCGAGACTCGTCAGGGAGTTCCCCGTGTACGCGCCACCTGTAAGTGATGATACTACGCGACGCAAAACAAACCGCACACGTATTAACGCTATAACCATCTTAGTCTATCGCGACACTCAATGCGGCCGCGACGGCCAGTCTTATGGCGATGACTATGTCCCACTGCAAAACACCACCGCCACCGGCCTGAGCACGTGCATGAACTTTCCCCCTTCGTTCAACTTCCCCAGCACGTACTTCAACGAGACCATGCTTACAAGGACAAGTATGTTTTAGCCGCATCGTAATGACTTTTGAGTTCGCAGGAGCTGACAGATGACGTGCAGTCCGTTTTTACGACCTTCCTTGCGAGCAACTTACTAGCGTTGACAGCGGACGCCACATTGACATCGCGCCGGGCTTCGTGGCTGGTTGCCAGACGCTGACGCTCAAGTCTTATGTCACCTTGTAGATGCTCTAGCTCACGAGGGGCCTGTTGGTGGACAGATCGAGGAAGGCTTTGTTATGTAGTAATGCGATGTAGTGTGAGTCGGGTCCAACACTCCGGCTCACACCACAACACATTCAGGACCTTTAAGGAATTTTCTACCCTCTTCTAGTCACTCATTTATAAGAATATAGAATATGGAGCGATCCAGTGTCTACCGCAATGATGGTATTTTTATATGCTGGTTGATGATTGCGTTCTCAGTGTCTTCGTCGTGAAGTCCCGATGAAGAGTTGGTAGGAGTGTAAGATTGCGTGGGATCACGGGTAGGCGGAACGTACCCACTCATGCAGCCACTCTGCACGTGAATGTGCATGCATGCACGCGACCGGCTTACCTGCAAGATCGCATCGAAGCACCAAATCGGGATGTTTGCAAAGCCACGTCATTTCACAAAATGTGAAGACCGCGAGAGACTCAGGAATCGGGAACACGGGGTCAGCGGCACCACTGACTTACAAACTTGGCATCAAAGGAAGCAAAAATACGTAGTATGTACCTGGAATTTGGCCTCATGTCGCAGTCTACGGATGGGGACCTTTGCATCACTTCCTCGTATACTCTCACTCGCCAACAGGCTCCAACGTAATATTGTTCGTGCTTTGTAGCCCCTAAGGCTATGGAGCAGGGTTATAATGCTCTAGCCACTCAATCAAAACCTCGTAACGGTGGTAGGTGTTCTACAGACGACCGATATCGACTGGGCGATGTCAGCCACCAACCGCACGATCCGTGTCGCTCTTCATACCAGAGTTGGTGGAGCGACACCACACGCAATAGCAGCTTGGCTTGCTTTTGTTGGATGATAGTACATTATGGAGACATATAAAGCAAGTATCATACACCGTTCTCCATTCCATCTCACTACGACATCTCGTCTCATCTCATCTCATCTCCCTCTTTCCACATCCATCTATCCATTCATACCCCCAGCGACCGCATATCCAAACTTCAACATGCAGCTCACCACTCTCATCACTCTGTTCGCCACTGCCATCGCCGTAAGCGCGACACCCATCGAACTAGAGGAGAAGCGTCAGCTCGAAGGTGCTCCCCGCGTCTACGCCCGCTTCTTCCGCGACAACGGTTGCGGTCCCACCCCATGGGCTGAAGACACTGTTTTCTTGCAGTCCGAGACTGTGGGACTGGCTGGATGCCAGGATCTGACTGTTGGGCCTTTCGCAAGCACCAGCTTTGACATCAATAACTTCAGCAGGACTGGTATGTGACACTTGATGATAACTAGGAGGCTATAAGAGCTTCGCTAATGAGGTGAATAGTGAGGTTCTTTAATTTGCCCTGCTCTCAGCTCACGTCTGCCACGAGCGGAAACTTTGTCGATATCGCTCCCGGCCAGGCTCCTAGCTGCAAGAACTTGGCTATTCGGTCCTGGATCACCATCTAAATGGCATCCCGCCGTATCACACTGGCTCTATATCTGCTGAAAAGGTCAAAATATCACAGTAGGTCTAAAGTATCTGGTCTAGTCGCGAAGATGGAGGGGTTGAGTGGTGTAAGGAGAAATGTGAGATGAGTCGGGTCCAACACTCCGGTCTCGTCTTGCGGGTGTTCTTTCATAGTCTTCTTGTCGCTCCTTTAGTAAGAATACAAGATCTTGGGGACGCCCCCGTGTATACTTGCACAATATCTACCGTTGCAGCTTACGTGCACGCGAAATCTGATGCCAGCCTTTAGATACATTTTCGTAGAAGACGTCGTGAGTTTGCTGGCACGACACATGCATATTGGAAGGTCTTGTAAGCACGGGGTCAGAGTCTAGCAACTCGAGTATGTGGGTACAGACGGCAGTCGCGCTAGTATACACGTAGCGGTGACGTAGCAGCAGGCTAAAGATGGACCATCACGCCCCGAGTTGACTAGAAACCAACGCAACTTCCCTCTTGAGCTCTCGCAACGCGTCAACACTGCCAGACAAGAACTTGCGCATCCCTGTCTTGACCGGAAACTGATCACGGCGTCAGCAACAACACACCGACGAGAAAGAGCTTTCGCAGCACGAGCTCATATCAAAACTCTACTATCATAACTTATAGCCCACTCAGTAGCAGTTCAGATCCACACAGCATCATTTCCATTACTGAGACGATTATCTTGGGCGATGTCTTACTATCATGCGTCTGACCTCACCAAACTCTTCACGACAACAGATTTGGACGTGACCAGGGCGAGTAGGATATACGGTTGGAGAGTTGATTCAGAGGATATGGTGAGAGATGATCCATAGAGCATGTCGCGTATAGATACAGCGGAGATAGTCCTACCGCCAGATGGGTATAAAGGAGGCCTGCTCTGGCATTCATGATCCTTCACCACTACATCCATCGCAATCACATTCAGACACTTTCAATACTACAAGACAAAAGAACCCAAAACGTCATCGAAACGCAGCTCACCACTATCGTTGCCTTCCTTGCGGCGGCCGCTAGCGCCGCTCCTGGCACACTGTCTCCACGGCAGTCTGGAAGCGTGCGTGCACGATTCTACGACGAGAACAACTGCGGTAAAAATAGAGAACTTCCAGGTAAAGCGGAGCTCACCCTTCGAACAAGCGCTACCGAGCTGGAGGGCAAGCCAGAATGTGTAGATTTGACGATCGGGCCATACTCTGCTACGTTCTTCGATCAGAGCACCCTGGAGAAGACGAGTAAGTTCAAGCGCGGCTTAGTCGAGATACCCTTCAGCTGAAGAGTCCAACAATTGTATGTATGCTAACGTCTCACCACTCAGTTCGCGTCTTCAACGTACCTTGCTCTCAAGTTGGGAACAATCTGGACCAGGGAAATTGGATTGACATCGGGCCTGGCTACAAGAACATTGAACCACCCAACGGGTGTAAGTCCTTGTTCATCCGCTCTTACCTTACCCTTCCCACGCAACGCCCATCTCTCTGAGAGATGTGAACGCACTTTGGAAATCGAGAGAGAGAGAGCAAGAGAGAGATGTAGTAGATTGGGTCCAACACTCCAATTACATACATGGCTGTTTGCAAGGTGTTTCTCTTTGTTTGTCTTTGTTCTCTTTCACCAACTTTCTAGTCACTCGTTTAGCTTAGAATGCCGAAAACATCAGGTCATATGCCACTATCTCCTATGGCTTGTAAATAATGCGGTGATTCTACGGTATCTACGCGCCACTTCCTTGCTGAGGCTAATCACCACCCACCTGTATCCACATTCCAATTGGAGCAAGCCTTTCTTCAATCGCTCATTCCAAGCTCGGACAGCCACCTCGACCTGTGTCACAGTTAGCGCACTAGCTCCCGCGCGCTCTTTTACCACGCCTGTTCCCAGGTAGTAAAGTCTTTCCCACACTCACCCCCCCAGCTCCTTCCACTCATTGCGCAACAAAGTCATTCAAGGAAACAACTACCAAACATCCAAGATGCATCTCATGAATCTCCTGCTCGCGTGCGTCTTCGCCCTGTGCGTCATTGCCGCACCCGCGGACTTCAAGCTGCACTCTGCGCTCACCATTCCCGTCCCCGGCTCTGCAACCTACGACGCCGACCTCGCTGCTGCTGTCGCGTACGCCCGGTCCCACTCCACTTCCTCCGTCCAGACCGCCGCCGATGGCCCAAAGAACAAGCTCTGCGGCCAGTACACTACCACTCCCGACTCCAAACCCTTCTACACTGAGTTGCGCACAGACGGGACCAATGTGTGTACCAACATGAACCCGGGCTATACTATGGCGATTGTTGGCAACTATTTCTGCGGTTTTTGCATGTACTTTGACAGTAAGTGTATCCGTTCTCCACTTGCAGCATCTTCTGCGCTGCAAAGCTAGAAGCCAATTAGGAAGGAGGCAACTGACATGTATTGTAGAAGATGGATGCCAGGGCGCTCTCGTCTGGAACAAAGGACCGGAATACAATCAGTGGCAACTTGTTCCGCGTACCAAGAGCTACATCTGTTTCGATTGAGGTATGGCTAGCATATGTGGTGACGAGATATGATCAGCATTGAAGGTGTGCATTTCGATACCGAGGTCCTCCCTACTGCTTTCCGGCAGTGTGGTTATCGGTCACACTAGCATGTGTCTTCTCTCTTCTATTCCAAAGAAGTGTACTATGGTGCGTTTGGACAGTATATGGCAGGCAGTCTGTCAATATGAAGAATTGACAACAATTCAACAAAAGCGCGCTGGTGATTGTGATGTACACGTCACATACAACTCGAGTGACACGTTATTAGCTGTGACCTTCGTATCCCTTGAAGTCTCTCAAGACCCCTCTTCCTCTTTCCTTTTGAAGTCTTCTCCTTCTAAAACTATCGATGTTTCCCCGGCCACGACGCTACACAAACAGGAAAGTCGCGACAAACTGGTCAGACAAACCACTACACGTCAAACTTGATATTTCAGAAACGGAAATGAATGCGCATTTAGCTCTGCAAGCGCGTGTGCACGACTACGAGGAACGCGACAAGGATAAAGCAAACAAATTGGAGCCCGAAACAGAGCTACATACAGACTCACATACCAGCATCGAAGAAGGAAAGCTGGAAGGAAAGAGCGTAGTAGTACATGAAGATGAGACGCACAGTGCGAGCGGCCAGGATGACCGTGCGAGGAAGACTTCTGAAAGAGATGAAACGGTGGTGGTTCTGGGTGGCGGCGGTGAAAGAGACATAGTGGTGATAACAATTAGGCATGTGCAGGCCGCTGCGACCACTGTGGAAAGGGGTACATCCAATGGAGATGACAAACGAAATGAGGGTGGGCACACATCGGGCGAGGTATGGACAGAAAGTCCGCATTTTCTTTGGGGGCCTTGAAAGATCATAACTCTTGAATGGTTTAGCAACAGTATCTCCTCATCCCATCCCACAATATCAAGCGCTATCCAACGACGCTTTGCCTCATAGTGACCGCTCTTCTTCTATTACTCCAGAACGCCTTGCTGGGTGGTGATGATACATGAAAGGTGACATGTGGGTGAAGATGCGTATAGTCGCCGGCCACTTCCATCATAGTACTCATTGGGGCCGAATGTGCACGAAGTCCGGAGGTGATGTGGCCAGGCCATTGGAGAGTCATTCTCTCCTTGTAGCGGGACCGTGCGATGACCATCGCGAGACCGTCACGCAGTCCAATGAAGCGTAAGCGTCATTTCGTAGCAGCTGCGACTGGAAGCTGATTTCGGATGCTATCTCACTTCAAGTTGCTTCTGTGCTCGCTTTCTCGGCCTCCACTTCTGTGCTCTGCTCCGTTTCTTCGCTCTTCTTCTCCTCGATTTCCTTTTGAGGCTCCACCTTGGGTTCCGCCTTGGGCTGCGCGACTGTTTTGCTGACCACGAGGCCGATGAGATGAGAACCAACGTTGCCAGCACCGTCGATAGGCCCGAGTTTCGCATCGAATAGCTTCGCCTCGCGTAGCAATCTGAGTGGTGTCAGCTATCATATATTCACCCAAATTGACTTGGTTACGTACCGTGCTTTACCACCGGGCGTCTTCACTGCCGCCTCCTTGATGACACCACCAACCTCCTCTCTGTAGCTCTCAAACACAGGTCCCATAATCATGCGGACCTGGATGTCGCTCAAGTACTTGTTAATCACCTTATGCATGGTCACAGTGTCCTTGGTCAAGCTCTCCATGCTGGGGCTGACATCTTTATTGACTTCAGCCTCAGTATCCCATTCCACTTTCTTGAGGCTGCGCATATGAACCTTCGCCCTCCCAGCTAAGATGCCTGTAAGCTTTTCGTGGATTTGGTTCTGTTGGTCGTACAACAGGCGCTTGACATTGTCAAACTCGCCGATTGAGGATTTGTTGGAAGCTGATGCAGTGCGACGCCGGAAGCACTCGCGGATATAAGGTAGGATGGCGACAAGGAAGGAAAGGGTCTGAGAAGCAATGGCGAGATGTTTGGTGTTGATATTCTTCAAGCCAGCTGACTGCATGGCGCCCGCGCCGAGAATCAGTTGACAAAGTCGGGAGTTGAAAAGCTTGATGTAGTCGCAAAGGGAGGAAGAGACTTCGGAAGTCATACTCGGCATGGAGGAAACCAGGATTTCGAAGCGCTCGATACCCCGAAGGACGACCGTTGATGATTCGGAGATAGTGTACTTCTCCTCGTCCACAACGGCGGGTATAGTGGTTTTGTTCTTTTCCTTTGGCTTCTCTTCGGATGCGCCATTTGTTTGTACTGAAGTGCCATTTGTGGTCGGCTTTTCGATCTCTCGAAGAACGTCACCAGTTTCGGCCCAGCTTGGTGGATCGCTCTCCATACCCTTCAACAACCGTGCCAGGACCTCGATATCGCTTGCGTCAAAGTCCTTCGGTTCCCAACGATCTGAGTCCATTGCTTTTATCAGTTCTTGCTTCTCAAAGTCTGCAAATTTGGAGACGAAGTCGTTGATGTGGGTGTTCACCACACCCTTCAGTGCAGCGCCAGAACGCCCTGAGACAGCTTCACACTCATCCGCAAAGAGCCTACACATGTTGAAGTACCGTAGGAAGCGTTCCAATGGGAGATTAGCTGTAGCTTCTGAGCGGACTTTGAGGAGCTTGGTGATCTGTGTCTGTGCTGCGTCGACAGCCTGGCCTAACAAACTTGACATATCCAGAGCTTGCATAAGTTCCATCTGCAGGTCGTTGGAGCTTGGCACTGGCACGTTATTGCCTACGTAATCATCGATACTGTGCATATACGGACTCCTTGGAGGAGACCGAAGCCCACCAGCAGAGGCGGGAGGGGTAGTCACGCCGCTTGTGACATCAAGAAGCACCTTGATCAGTGTGCTTAGACGGCGGAGTGCCTCTCCAATGTTGGTGAAAATATTAGCGAAAAAGACTTCGGCATCCTCAGGATCCATTGCGCGCAGATTTCGTGCAAGGATCGAATTCTTGTCCTGTTGACTGGTTCCCCGGCCGCCTCTTGTAGACACAGAAGCCATGGAACCAGTATCGTCTTCTGATGAGCTCGGTAAATGTTTCCGGATGAGGACTTTCATCTCTTTGATCATAGCCTCCCTGAACGTTGCGCTAGCTTGGTTGGTGAATTGCGCTCCACTCAGGCCGTACAGGCTAGCTCGTAACTCTGCTCGTAGCTTTTCGTCTGTTGTCATGTAGGCTGGTAAAGTCGTCTTCGGTTTCTGGTTGCCCCCGCGTGCCTTTTGCGACGCAGCTGTCCATCGTTCCAGGGTATCATGGGCCGGAACTCGCTTGACGTGCTCTCGCAGGTCTGTGAGCAGAGTGTCGACAAAGCGTACTTCAAAGCCTCTGCCCACACGGAACTTGAGCTCGGTAATGTTCTCGAAAACTCCGTCTAGTGCTCTCAAGTGACGCAAATCGATCAACTGCGGAGGTAATCGAGAGTCGAGCCACGAGGTACTCTGAGTATCAGTCGTGTCCAGCGCGCCTGTTATCAGTCGTTCAATAACTTCTATTCGAGCCATGGCGGTTTCAAGGTCACCGTCGACAACGGCTTCGTCGCAGTGCGAGAGTCCGACTATGACAGCCTGTAACTGGTCGACCGAGTCTGTCAGCCTCCTCAAATTCTCTCTCCGCCTCTTCATTTCGACAACCTTCAAGCCTCCTATTGCCATCTGCTCATCCAGCCTCTTCAAGTCTTCCCTGAGACCTTTTATCCTTGCGACCGAATCTGATGCTTCCGTCTGAAGCTCGCGGAGGGAGCCGAGCGCGGCGAAGAAGGATGTCGATGCGGTGGATATGGCCGAAATCAAGTGCACTTCCACCGTGTCCATGTACCACGACAGCTTCTCTTGTAGAATCGCATTCGTGGCCAGAGCTTTCCGCCCGGGAGGTTGTGGGACGTCCAGAGAGCCGTTTGCCCCAAAATCATCGTTGCTTGCTGTCCGCGCTGGCCTGACCACCTCGGATCGCTCGCTCACTACGTCAAAGGTTCGCGGGTTTTCTAGGTGGAAGTTCTCGTCGAAGTAGATGTTGGGTATTGTAGATAGCGGCGTGATGGCTGGGAGTGCGCGCTTGGATCCGCTCGTTCGACGCTTCGGTTTCGGTGGCCCGTTGGAAGAGAAGGGTGTACCTGCTAGATTAGGTGTCCCCGCTGGTGACTCAGTCGCGTCCTCCTTCTTCGACCCTCTCCTTACCGGCTGGGCGGCCTCTGCTTCGGCTTCGGCTTTTGCGCGTTGAAAAGCGTCGTACAAACCGCCGACTTGCGACAGATATGGATTGAAGGTGGAGGGCTCGACGTGGGGTACATTTGTCAGAGTCACGGGCGGGATGTCTTTGGTGGATGGAGGGCGGTGGCCTGCGGTTACCGTGGCAGTGGTATGCGGCACCATGCCAGTTCGCATAATGGGAGGAGTGAGTAACGTGGAGATGGCATTGTTGCTCTGCTCTCTCACCGCGCCCATGGTGCTCTTGAAGCCGCTGTCGAGTGCGCCCCCAACCGAGTGTATCGAAGACGCGGTTGAGCCACGTCGCGGCTTGTAGCGCCCGCCCGTGGAGCTGGGCCTGTTTGTCCAGTCATGGTTCGCTGATGGGAACGGGAAGGCGCCCTGCGGCGGGTTCGGCGACAGGAACTCGAAGCTCTCGGTCGATCTCCGTGGGGTATCGGGGGAAGACATGATGGCGGCGCAGGTCGGGGGTGGTGAATAGGCGGCGGCATGGGTGGGCAGGGGGGCACATCTATCGCATGCTGGAGGACGTGTGGACGGGTATCAAGCTCCGAGTCATCAATCAAAGACAGCAGGCAGAAGGCGCAATGGGGAGATTGGTTGTGTCAAGCGTCACTTGAATGTCGTGGCTAGCCAAAGTTCCACGCGCTCGGTGGTGACGGTGCATGGGCCCTGGAGCGGCTTCTGGAAGCTTGACAAGGATCATGCAGCCGAAACACAACCGCCGACGGCTCCACCTACTTCAGACCCTTATGTAAGCCACGCCTCTCTTCCCAACCCATCCGCGTCCCTTACGTCCTTGGGATACCGTTGTGCTTTA